CCCCAAAACCCCAAAACCCCAAAACCCCAAAACCCCAAAACCCCGAAATGAGCAATCTCTCGTAATAAAAGGTAATATTATTCAAGATTATCAAATGCTTTTATTGTAATAGTGAATTTGTTCAGATAGATTGAATTGCGTAGCCTCATATTATAAATTAAAGAAATGGAATGTTGCAGCTGCTTTTAAAATGACAAAAACAAGAATCTCAGGAAAAATACCAAGAGAGCTAATAGACCCAAATCACAATGGATACAGGATAATATTAGGGGATCTGATTAGATTAAGGATGTGAGTAATATACTTGCTCATACTTCTTATATTTCTCCTCGAAACGATAATAATTCTCAATTTCATATTGCTACAAGCTCTTACGATGGAGAAAAAAGTTGGATTCAAGTAGAATATCCTTATGACGCACCTCTATCACCTAAATTTATTCAAGATTCGCCTTAGAGAAAATAGAGGAAGCAAGTATCATAGAAAATATAGTAGAATATAAAATCACCACAAATGCTAAAAAATCAATATCACATCTCGGCTGATATTATTAATAGCCCTCATTTCCTACTTAAACAAGTAAAATCAGTTGATATCTCAGTAATAACCCAACTATAGACTGCAGATGGAGAAAAATATCTTGATTACCTCTTCAAAGAAAGAATATCAAATAAGCCTCTATATATCAGTCCAGAAGACCCTAATTTCCATATTTATAGATCATTTAGGCTTTCACCGCCTAAGATATATGTACAAAAGTCTTTTAATTATTTGTGTGCATCATGCTAACGAGGATTTTAAAGTAATTTCAATTATTTGAAGCTATAAGTTTACTATAGAAATTTTGCTTCTTGAAATGAAGATGCTGATGTCTCAGATGGATCTAAACTTAATGAATCTATAATCACTTTTTAATAACCTTGAGAGTAATCCTTAATCATATTCATGAATCATACTATAGATTTTGACTGTCGATGTGCCTACTGTAACTCATAATGCCATTTAGTTTTGAGCACCAACTTCTTAGTAGGAAGTAGTAAATATATGCAATAGTTTGATGTAACCATAAATAATGAGAGTAATATGAATCTTATGGAGTCAGAGCTAGATAACAGTCACATTCTACCTAGATTCACTCCTCCTATTTCAAATAATTAACACCTAAATACACTTGAGGCTTTGCATAGTGACTAAAATACTGTAATACAGCATAATAATCACCTGTAAGCATCGCAAAACATCAAAGAGTTAAGTTATGGAATGGAATCAAATAGGAACTTAAAAGGTGAAAATTAATGTCAGACTACCTAAGAGTAATCTTCTTCAAGACCATAAACAGTTATTTTAAAGCATAAGCTTGAAAAGCTCAAAGGATTTTCTCTATATGCATAAATGCTTTTAGTAGGGGAACCAATTAAAAAGGCTTAAACAGCTTTGAAGCATCCTCAAAATCAGACTACACATTTGGACACTGAGGATCGCACTAGTTTCAACAATACTACAGCTAATAATTTCACTGCCCTCTAGACTGGAGGTTATCCTAGCAACTTAAACTAGCCAACATATAACAATAATATCTCTAACTTGTTTACGAATTCAGGCAATTATCCTGATCAGAATCAAACAGTATCAATGGGTCATAGATACGTATCAGCTGATGAAGTGGCAAAGATAGATAAGTAAGAATGCTTGAAAATGAATAGTGAAATGATGAAAGCAATGATTGAAAGGAAAATGCGCAAGAATAGAAGTTACTATGAACTCAGAGTTTTGAATGAAGATGGCTCTGACTCTTTACCACCAAGAACGCCTCTCTAGCTTGGACAGTATAATTAAGAGAGATGATCTGCTCAATTTTTAACATCTGAATTAATTACCTCATATACCCCAAGGAGTAATAGATTAAAAATAGTCTAAGATACTCTGAGTGATATTAACTGCTTATCAAATTTGAATTATTTTATGCTAAATGCTAAAATTTAAATTTCATTATTTAATGACGGTTTTGGGGTTTTGGGGTTTTGGGGAGA